TACCTGATAGATATAAAAAACACGGTCTGACGCACTTTCCAGCTGTGTCTCTGAGTAATTGATTGGCGAACGATAATGAGTCCCCATTAAGAAAAGCCTCAAAGCCAGTGGATGATAAAGTTCTAAGACCTAGAAATTAGAAACAAAAAAAATACCAGTCAAGAAAACAGAACAAAGAGAAACCACTAAAATTGGAAGCATTGAACAATATCAGATTATTGAGTATGTGATAAGTCAAATTGTAAACAACTGGCATTTAGTTTGTTTCTACATGTCCATTCGAGTCTAGGTTTGTGTGTGCAAGAGACTGAGAGGAGCTTTACACAATTAATTTCCATGTACCTGCCGAATTGTGAAAAAGTTTCCAAGAGACTTTGACATCTTCTCCGAGTCAATAGTCACAAATCCATTATGTATCCAATATCTTACATTGCTCTTGTGGCACGCAGCACAACTTTGCGCTATCTCATTTTCATGATGGGGAAAAATAAGATCCATTCCCCCACCATGAATGTCAAAAGAATAACCTAGATAAGTAGCGCTCATGGCACTGCACTCGATATGCCATCCGGGTCTACCAGGACCCCATGGACTTTCCCAAAAAGGTTCTCCCTCCTTTGCAGACTGTAAACAGAAGACAAGCACTATAATGATTGGAAAAAATGGTAGACCTTTACAATGAACAAGAATGGAATTCAACAGCCGTACTAATGCAAACTTCTCTCTAATTAACTGAAAAGTGAATACTCAATGTCCTTGCCCCACTACTATTGAGGAAGGGAATGTGCTCAGTAAAAAAGAATTGTAAACTAACTTATGCTCTAGTTAGATTGATTAGACCAACCTCCCTTCTGATTTAAAAATATCATAAATGAAACTCATAAAATCGAACCTACCATCAAGACGATTGAATGAAAATATTGAGGGTAAAAGCAAATTCCAGAATCTTGAGGAAAGGTATCCTGAATTATGACGATCAATAAAGGATTCAACTATTATTTACCTAAATATTAAGGCAGATATACATATATGCTTTGCAACCATCTATAGATGTATAAATACATTTTTTTTTTCCAAATATATACGATATTATGAACACAGTTGAAGTTACAAGCACTTACTTTCCATAATGCAAAGTCAGCTGGGTTTTTCTTCCTTGAGTCCACTGCCACCCGTTCACCCGCTCTATTATCTTCTAACTTACGGCCAGATAATCGTCCATAATCGGGGAATTTGTCTACAGAGAAGTACACATCACCTTGGATAGTGTAAGCACCCCCATTATCAAGTATCTGTTACAAAAGCATAAGGTCTGCACTTAATACAACGTGCTAAATTTCTTTGTAACATCAGAATTTAAGGATAAAGAGATAGATAAAAGAAAAATCACGAACTTGAGATTTCAAATTAAAAGACAAATGAATTTTCACTAGTGTACAATGTCTACACAATATCCAGGAACAATTTCCTTTCCAAAGCTACAAGGATAAAAGGGATTTGCTCTTGAATTACTCAAATTAAAGTTTTAGATGTAACTGATGGTGTATATTTAGAGTTTCCTGAGTAAATACACAAATTGTTTTATTTTTTTGGCAAAAGGGCAAAAAAAATAAAAATAAAAAGTTAACACCTTAAATAGAGGTGGCCAAACTGCAAGAGAAATTACATTATCCCAAGCAACAAAGAAAGAAGAAGAAAGGGGTACCTGCTTAATCATCTCAATGATTTGTGGAATGTGATCAGACACTCGAGGTTCCGCTGAAGGAGGAAGACAATGAAGATATGCCATATCACAATGAAACTCTTCACAATATCGTCTGCTTAAATTTATTGGATCCTCCCCCAACTCATTTGCTCTGGCAATAATCTACAGAATTTGAAAATTGCAGACTCAGCTATCCTGTCATACATATGTAAGAAATTGTTGGTACTTATAACAAAGCTACAGTGTCAATGTCTGGAAATCCAGCCCTTGTTTGGACTCCATTATTTCACATTCTAATGAAGAGAATGGTAATTTTTTGGAGAATATGTGGTTGAAAAAGAAGGAAAAGTTTTTAGGTTTATGTATAATATTATTTTATTGAATAATGTGTGATTGATAAGAAGAGAGAGAAAAATAAATTTTAATTTAATGGGGGCCAAACAGGGGCTCAATAGCTTTCTCAAAAGTATTATGCTATAAGTAGACATATGCACATAAGCACCAATACATCTTTTGGCTCTTTGAAACAACACTTGACCGACCTTGTCATCAACATCAGTGAAATTGCGAACGTAGTTGACTTCATATCCCAAATACTTGAGGTATCTGCCTAATTTTCAAAGAATGGAAGGAAAAAAAAAAGTGCAATTAATTCCAACACTTAATGGTTTACTACCAACAACAAGCAGGAAAAACTTAGCCAAAATAGAAATCTGAGAACACTGTGAATTTTTATTAAAGCACATAGAACATGACTCTCCAACATAAGTATATAATGTCTTTCTTGAATTAAAACAATTTTTTTTCTTTTTTTGAAAATCAAAAGAAACTAATACTATTGAAATATCATTCCGAACAAACGGCATAATGATAAAAGGAGTAAACTCAACCCAGTTATGAGTAACCAAGGGATTAGTAGCAATTAGCAGAAGAAGAGTAACTGAGAAATTAGTAGAAATTAGCAAAAGAAGCAAGATTGATTGGCTACGTTATTCCCTTTTCGAGGAACAAAGCAACGCAAACCACACCCCACCTCTTTTAGTAAAGCTACAATGTCAAGGAATACTGATGCATTCAAAGAAAAGGTATGCATTCTTGCTCTTCCGATCATTAATAATACTAAAAAATGATTATCACAGATTAGTTCACATGGATCAAGGAAGCAATACTCTGCATCCTTGAAGTTATAGCTCACACCAGTGCATTGCTTATCAAGATTCACTGTTAAATTTCTACAACTTCATCGAAGATAGACAAGTTTCCTAATATTCTCATAAAAATTAGAACTTTCAAATATTTCCGCTACTACGTGTTCAAGTTTCAGAAGTTCATAAAATTCTGAATATCTTTTTCCATCCCTCGTTTCATTTATTTCACCCAATTATTTTTCTCAGCCACCACTCAAATGCACCAAATACATCTACATGTATGTAAATTAACAATTATAAACAAACAGGTAGAGAGAGGAAGAATGTACACCTGTACAGGACATCGAAAAAAACGTAAACGCGTGCATGCCCAATGTGACTAAGATCGTAGGCTGTGACGCCACACACATACATACCCACTTTGGCTTCAACATTTGGCTTAAATAGTTCCTTATGTCTGCTCATCGTATTGTACAACCACAACTCCTTTTTCTTCATCCATAAGTGATTATTATTATCATCATTAATTGTGGTACTTCTCCCCCGATTACTGGTCGGAGGGAGAGAGTTATTACTGCAGTTAATTGAAGAGAAAGTGCGGAATCGAAAATTGGTTCGGGAGGAAAGCGATTTTGCTTTGAAGGTATGGTGGTGAATGAGTGGAATTAAGGGCCTGTAGCATTTCAAGAGAGTCGCCATTGGAGTGCCTCTCTCCTCTCTATCCCTATCTGTATCTCTCAATTTCTCTGGGAGGAGCGTCTGTTGAGGGACTAGTGGGATAAATTTCATCCATGGTCATTCAACTTTCAATAAAATCTCAATTGGTTACTAGCTTTTAAATCCTCTAAGCCCCTGTTTGGGCCACCTTATTCTCTCATTAAAATAAAAAATATGACCGTTATTTATCACATCAATATTTAAATTCAAATTTTCTATCTCTAGCATGGGCCCCAATAACGACTCTATTTTTCATTCTCATTCTATAAAAAGGTGGCTCAAACAAGGCTAAACTCATTTAACATATGCTTTCAATAAAATAATGTTATTTTGTACTTTTAACCAGAAAATATCATCTCATGCGTTCAACACTTCACCTCTGGCTTGAGGACGCGAACGAGTTATAGAGTATCATTTTTCCAACTCCCTGCGTTCGCTAACACTACTTTATTAAACTGAACAGCATGGCTAAATTTCCTCCTCACACTTAGATAAAGGGTTTGTTAAGATGCAAACCGACTAAAAGAATGTAGGTAAAAGTATAGACGAGAAGTGTCGAAGTGTGATCGACTTGTTAAACTGATAATTGTCCGATGACATGGATTTCTTTGCTCCTCTTAGATGCCACATGGTGGTAGTGGTGCCGAGTGGTGTGGAATCGTACAGGTGATTTTGATTTTGTTTTGGAGTGGGGTGATATTATTAAATGTGGTAAATAGAAAGTTACCATTTTGTTCTTTATAAAAATATTAAAAGTACGATCAAACTTAATTTTTTTGGCCAACTAAAGGAAATATAAATGATTTCCATCGATTTGGACTTTAGACACGCACATTTCAAAAGCTTGGGATCACGTTTACAACAAATTAAAGATTAGGAAAAACTATTCCATATTTTAAAAGATATGGAAGCGTAGCTGCCGTTACTTTTTCCAATTACCCTATGTTAAACTACATCATGTTGAGCATCAAGGCTAAATTTCCACCTCACACTTAGATAAAGGGTTCATTAAGATGCAATCCAACTAAAAGAATGTACGCAAAAGTATCAACGAGAGGTGTCAAAGTGTAGTCGACTTGTCAAACTGATGGTTGCTTGATGATATGAATTTCTCCGCTCTTCTTAGATGCCACATGGGCATCCAGCGAAGTCTGAGTAGTAACAAATAGAATAACAACTTTGGATGTAATGAACTGAAAAGAAGTCCTGAAAATTATTCGAGTAATCATGGGATACAATCTGAAGAGGGGTAAAATAAGAGAACACATACAACAGACATATGAGCTAAGGAGAACTTGTTGATGAGCAAAATGAGAACCTAAGCTTAAGAGGTTAGTGTAAACTTCCCACATTGTAAACAGTTTCAGCCAAAATGTGAAACCCCTTCACGTCATTTTCAAATTCTAGTGTCACAAGCCGATATCTAATTTCTAACTAGGCCTCTGTGTTGCTCCAGATAAAAAGTTTGCAAGAGATGGAACAGCAACACCTTGGTTTCTCATTTCCTCTTGAGCTCGTTTCATTTCTTCAGCATCTGTGCCACATGAGAAACCAGAAGCGCATTATAATGGGACCATATTAACATATCAATTCGACATGTCTCACTCATAAATAAACGCAACTCGGATTTAGAAATGCCAAAGATAACCCAAATCAATCAAAAGCAAGATGGATGAGTCCAAAGCTTCAATGGTGTAACTCTTACCAACTAGTTTGGGCATTACAAACATCACAATCGCCATAAATCCAACCATCAGACCCATTGGGCTCTTCACAATAGACATTATGGAGAATGGTTCTCTTATCTGCAAAAGAGTAGATTGGAACAAAAAGTAGACGTAAATTTCAGAATCACTAAGGACCTATACAAAGAACAGGAGGTACCAATCAGGATAGAGAGTAATCTAACCTCGTAATACTGTTCCTCCCTCAAAGGCTCCAAAACAAGCTCACTCAATACTCTCCTGTTCTCTGTCAAAGCTGCCTGAACTTTACCAGGGTTTCTAGCGCTGACATCTATGCGTACCTAGCAGCCGATAGAAGAGACCAGGATTATATATATTGTTTGATTAATTAATTAGTTCAATAACAAGAAGAATATGGGAAATGGGAGAAGCTCACAGGAGAAAAGATATAGCCAATTGCAGCCACTTCAATAAGATGAGTCCCTGCTGGCACATCCTGGCTTGAGGCATAGTGGTTAAAGAACTACACTTAATTGCATAACTCAAATCCAAGTGTGCTTTCCGAATTATAACAATAAGAATACTAATTTCACGCATAATACAGTACCAGTTCAGGTCTCCATTCGCAAGCTTGCAATAATGTGATGCAGTAAAAAGTCAGAAAATAGCAAAACATAAGACTCAATATCAAGACATGCAACAGAACCACAGATCAACACCCAAAAGTAAATCAGTGTATAGTGACAAAGATGGTAGGATACAAAGAAAAATATCCTTCCGGCCTTAAAAAGGTGACTCTCTGGCCACCGTTAAGAATGACTTTGACATTTGATACTTTTTCTGGAAGACCAAATCCTGATATGGTAAATCCTATCAGAACAGAACAAGTACACGAAAACTAAGTTAGTCAAATGATATACAAAATAATGGAGCATTACAAAAATAAAGATCGACAAATTCTGCAAGATAAGATGCTGCACCATAATTAAAAGTAATTTAGACCATGCAGAAACATGTCATGGTAACATGGACATTACCACTGCAGCAGTAGGAATAGTAAACTACTTCTACAATAGCTCCCAAAGATTTGGTTGGTGGCATGATGGCTAATACTAATGTTTGTTTCAGACTAATAAACATATATAACCTCGTCTACATGTGAAAAAACAGATAATGCATGTCTCCGGAAACAAGGATACTACACATTCCATATCCTCAGGGGTGGAGCCAGGAATGTAAGTCAGATAAAACAAATAGTAGTTTGGTTGCTCTGGTAAGAAGAGCTGCATAGTCTCTGTCCAGGAGAAATTTTCTCAAATATGAGAAAACACTATTATTGTATTTACAAAGATAGTGAGAGAAAGTTCAATGAAACAGAAAAAACATTGTCGTTGATTAAGTGGAGAGGTAAAAAGAAAACTTAAAACATTTTTGGTAGTAAGTTTCGAAAGAAAACAAAAATAGCTCCAAATTTAAGTTTTTTCCCTCAAAACTAACTTTAATTTATAAATGAACTCCATAAACTGTTGTTATTCAAGAATTAACAAAAGTGGGACGAGAAGCAACAATAACCAATGCTTTAATTTTTAAACCCAACCCGTACCCTTTATTGGCATGGGAAAAGTAAAGGTCAAGGACTTTAATTGGTCGAATCAGATACTAAACAAATTAATAAAAATACAATAATTTATTAAATAGTTTAAATATAAAAGAAATGGGGAACTGCATAACTAATACAAGATATGATAAGTCTAATAAATACAAAATTAAATTAGTATATCTTCTTCCAAATCCTCCATTTTGGGTCTTGATCCTAAATCACTCAACCGACCAACAGCATAGTCTAAAACCTTAACCCCCAACCTACCTCACACTCACACACAAAAATAAACACCCGTCCACCTTCTCTATATTTCTACCACCATTGAATCACCAGATTAAACCACTAATCAATATTTTCTTCAACTGAACCCACTAGGTCATCTAGTTTACCCTACCGATAATTTAGTTTCTTGAATAGCTGTGCCATCCAAGTTTACAAGAACATATAGTAGAAGCCAACATCAAACCAAAGTATTCAAATTATCTAGACACTTGTAAAATACAAATGAAAAAAAGGCCTTATTCAAATAATAAAAGAAAAACCCACCTGGGAATTTTACTTTACCATTGATGCTATACCCCTCAACATCCCTAAAAAAAGAGTAAAAATTAAACAGTAAAATAAAATTTGGGTTGGGGGGGGGGGGGGGTTAACAAAGTACAGAGATAATTCGATATATATATATATATAAAGAATACCCAGAAGAGATCGCGAGTGTCGAAGGCAGAAGAAGTAATATTAGTGAAAGAAATATCGGCATATCACTGCAAGTTGTGGCTGCCATCGTATTGAGAAAGATGAACTGATGGGAAGCACCGAAGCAGTCAAGCAGAATTTTTTTTTTTCTACCCTCTACAAGATTTTGATAACGACCTTAATATATTAATGCTCCGTTTGGCAAAATTTATAATAATACAAATCGTTTAAATGAACATAATGCTTGACATAGGGGTTGACCGACCACTGATATTGCATGTCGACCTCGACCTGAATTAAATAATGCTGACCTCCCTATATATGTGTTGTATCATTTGTGCAGCAAAACTCTTATTTTTTATAGCAGTTTAAAGATTCACAAATATTATTCATTTAAAATCAAATTGCATGTTCCAATAAATCGACAAATAGTATACACTTCCAATCAAAAGCAAAAATTGAAAAATCGAACCAAATCTGCCTTAAATTGAGTTTAGTGTCATGTGTACTACATCGGAAGATTTAAAGATTCAAAAAATAAATAAAAATATATTCTTTAATAAGGGAGCCGTTATTTTCATCCATTCTCGATGGATATGAATTTGCTCTTGAATTTTGAGTTTTCTTTTAAATATTTTATAGAGAATTTTGCTTCACCTTTTCTACATTTTTATGTGAATTTGTTGTGTGATTAGTTTGTCAGTCGCTGCAGTATATTTCACTGGAGACTGCTTGTAGAAACGATGAAAACCCATATGAATACTTTAATAAGCAAAAATAATGTTTCTTTCTCTTTGATCCTTACTTTCAGATCTGGAGATAGAAATGGTTGAAGGAGAAGAACATTGTTTATTTCCATTTCTTTGATCTTTATTTTGAGAAAGCGAAGAATTTGATCAACTGATCGAGCATTTGGCTTGATGGTGATGTGTTGGCGATAGATTTTTCGATGGTCAAGTGGCAAATTTTTGTAGTGATCCAATGATATTACGAAAATCAGATTAAAATCTGGTGCAAACAGACCCTAAGTAATGTTTATATATCAAGTAAAACGTGGATTTTTAAAATAGAATGTAACATACAGTAACGTGACATGTTAACTTGGTAAAACATTGATTTCTAATAAAAAGTAACATGTTAACACAACATGTTACCCCCGTGAGACTTGTTGATTTTTTAATGAAAAGTAACATAGCAACAAAATATGTTACCTGTGTAAAACATTGATTTTTAATTAAAAAAAATAACTTACAATAACATATACGTTACCCCAAAATATTCCTATGAAGTCCAGTTTACACCTCTAGGCCAAAGCAAGATGAGAGCCTATGAGCTTACATTCCCACGAAGCTCCCAAGTCAACTATATGCGGGAGAGGCCAAACCTCTAGCTGAAGTAGTGTAGGTACTCCCTCGAGGCCAAATGGAGAAGCTTGAGTTCTCAAAATATGATAGCTAACGAGACACTGAGATCCTCAACTTGATATTCACGTGCTCGGCTCCGTATGGGGGACTTTTTTCCCGATTTCCAGAAACCATCAAAGAGTAACCGATATTTGATCGAAGCATAAAGTGTCAACTTTGACATTGAAGTAGTTTCATAGTTGAAAATATTACAGATATCTTGAAAATACTGGACAAGCTTTACCCCCACACAGCTCGTGGAAGATTAGCTTGGTCAAAATCATGAAATCACAAGGTTTTGAACTTTGCAGAGAAGTAATGAAACAAGAGAGTCCACTACATCATGATTAAGTGTGATTCAATTCATTTTGTTTAGGACAAGGATTGTTTAATCAGATTTTTATGTTGCTCGTTACTAGTTTGTCAATTATCTCCCATATGTTTTCCTATGTATATATTCAATAATTCTTCACACTGATCAATGTCCAAACAAAATTAACAATGAGTCTATTTGTTTCCATTTCTTGATTCCCCATCTCCTGGTCTTCTTTTCACCCTTATCAATATCCATAAGATCTGTACTTACTGGAAACATGACAGATCGTTTTACATTGCTTTCCATCAAGGCCGACCTAGACTCTGATCCACTGCAGAGTCTGGCCTCTTGGAATGAGTCCGACACATTTTTGTAATTGGTTTGGAGTAACTTGCAGCCTCAGGCATTAGAGAGGAGTCAAGCTTGACTTGCATTCTGTCATGTTTGGAGGTGCTTCAATCTGATATAACTCGGTTTGGGCACAATTTCGATTTCAGTCCTTGTTTAATCTGAAAGTATTTTTTATTTACTTGAAAATTTTGACTGCACAGTTACCACCTTATCTGGGTAGTATTTCATCCCTTGTTTCGATTTCTGCAGGAAGAAATAATTTTGATGGAAATATACGGGATACTCTTGGTCATCTGAGGAATTTTGAGCATGGGGAGCTTGGCCTCACAACTTGTCTGGCACCATCCCTTCATCTTTTTTCAACTTGTCATCATTAAAAAACATTGATATGTCCAAAGGGGGCTACCACCAGACATATCCTCTACTCTTCAAAGACTGGTAAAGCTAAACATTGAAAGAAATCAACTAACAGGAAATATTCCTTCCTCGGTTTTGAATGCCAAAGAGCTTATGTTGTTTGCTCTAAATATAAATGGCTAGTACCATCTTTTAGAAATATGCAGAAACTTGACTGGCTTGCACGATCAGAAAAACCTTGGATATGGGAAACCTAATGACTTGGATTTCATGTCATCCTAGCTACATTGACGCCTACTACATCTGAGTGAAAATAATTTCCAAGGAGTTTTGCCAAGGCAATATTTCAGGGCTTAGGCAATTTGCTATTGGATGAACTCTGATATATAGAAATATTCCTATGGTATTAGGTGAACTTGTAAACTTGGAGACAATGTATTTGTGGTCAAACCAACTCACTGGTAGTATTCCTGATTATGTAGGAAAGCTTCAACAGTTGAGAATATTATCCCTCTATGAGAACAGATTATCTGCGAAAATTCCATCTTCTATCAGAAATTTAACCATGTTGACGGAACTCTACCTGCAAGGCAATAATTTGCAGGGTACCATGTACTTTTGGACAATGCCGTTCATTATTATCAGCTGATCTTTCTCAAAACAATCTTAGTGGTTATATACCAAAGAAATTATCAGCCTCCCATCTTTATCAGAATTCTTAAGACTTCTCAAGCAACTGTTGTGTGAACTCCCTTCCTTCAGAAATCAGTGGTTTAGAACATCTAGTCCTGTTGAATCTTCCTAACAACGTTTGTCAGGGACTATTCCAGACAGCTTCGACAGCTGGATAAGCTTGAGGGAGCTTTACGAGATTCTTATGAATTGACAAATATGAAATTCCATACTAATGACAAAACTATTAAAAATAAAATGGGCCACATACTGAGTATTTGATACAGTAAGTAAATCCTTAAGATAATACAAATGGATAAGTTACAATCGCATGATCAAGAATTTCAAGAAACAGGGAGGACCTTCTTGACAATATCCTCACTAAGAGCAGCAATCTGCGAGTCGAGAGCCTTAAGAGTATCCTCCTTCTGCTTATCCAAATTAGCCAAAGCTTCCTGCAACTCAGCCTCTAGTTTCTTCCTCCCCTCAGCCAGCTTCTGCTCCACCTCAAGCTGAGTCTCCTTCTTCATCTTGTTCAACGCAGCCGATATCTCTGCCCTAGCAGCCCTCAACACAGCCGCAGCCTGATCTTCCAACTGTTTCACCTCTGCAGAAGTGTCCTTAACGCTGCTCAGCTTCTCCCTTATAGCTGCATCCCTCTGATCCATAAAGTTCCCCAGAGGGCTGTAATAAATCTTGTCCAAAGCGAACATGAGGAACAAAAATTCAGCCACAATAATAGGGAGTGTCAAATTGAAGTCAAAAAGTGCCGCCTTTTCGAATTCTTCAGCCAAGGAGGGAGGTGCTTGTGAAAGTGAGAAGGAGGTGGCTGCAAGAATGACAGAAATGGACTTGAAGGAAGAAGGGGTCAGGGAGAGGAGTTGGTGGGGTTTTGGGATTCTGGGCAAGGCTATTTTGGGGAGGACTTTGAATCCTGGGGTGGAAGAGGTGGAAGGGGTGGATGTGATTGGGGCTTTGGAGGAAGCCATGATCATGTTCGCCATTTCTCTCTTGTAGGGTTTCAAGCTACCTCTGCTCTGTGAATGTATGCAGGTATGTGTGGTGATTTTTTTACAGAGGAGGCAGATTTTAAAAAGGCTATCTCAATCTATGCCACACAAAATGATGAGGTTGTAGTGAATGAATTGAATTTGATTCGGAGTTGACAAATGGCTGAGCAGCTCGGGGGCTTGCAGGCTCGGCTCATACGAATAATGGACTTAATGTAAACCGAGTCATTGGCCATTTCACGAGCCAGCACGTGGATTGGTTTGTTTTGATCTTGTTTTATTAATATTTTGATAAAAAAAACACAAACAATTTGCAGACGGCTCGACTCAATCCATGAGATCTACGAGCCAAAAGATCGAATCGAGCTTAGTTTGTGGACAAGCCGAATTCGTGTGTCTAAAGGTCAGGCTGGCTTGATAATTGTTACACTCAAGAACTTGTAGCTGGATCTTTTTCTAATTTAATTCCTTCTTTTCTACATATTTTGTCATAACTCTCTTCCCAGTGGGACAAAAGACGAAAGAAGTAGAACTAGAGAGTGGAACAAAAAGAAGAAAAAACTAATAAGATAAATTCCATGCAAAAGAGAAAATCAGAATGAGGTCCTAGAGTGATTTCGAATCATACCTATAAATCCTTTTACTAGACATGCTAATCTAAATACAAATCCTACTGCAGTTAGCTAGCTTATATTTTAGCTTAATCTCAGATCAATCACTAAAACTAGGAGAAAACCAATTTCTTTTGACATGAGACGAAATGTAATTCAGAGGAAAGCCAACAGGAAGTTATTAGGCAAACTTTTCTCATTATTCAGCCTCAATAATGGTAACAATGGAGCAAAAAATGATCAAATCTATGTTTTGATGCTACAAGTCAAAGTTCATTTTACAGGACAATTTGCTTTATTGATGTTGAGCTTCGACAAAAGCTTTCCGACTCGAGTTTATTCCCGGTGATTGGTTGAAGCACAGTCCCAGATCGTGAAGATGCAACAATCCGAGAGCTATTACCCTGCTTTCCAAGTCTCTCTTCTAGAAGTACATTTATTACTGTAAAACTGCATGACATTTTTTAAACTTCTAGCTAAACTCTCTGAAAATTTTGAGGAACTACTCCTCTTCTCCACTGTCATCTCAGGGCTGGGCAATTTATGATATGGGAAGCACCCTCTTAACAAGTGAGCTAACTTGAACTCATAATGCATAACAACACCTTTATCAGACTCAACATTGTCATCTTGCTTGTTCTCTAGGATCTCTATATAATGACTCTGAACATTCTCTTGTCTGTCCCTGTAGCCATTTAAACCACAAAATGTTTCCAAATTAGTAATAACATGCATCAATGATCAATAGCTTCAATAAACGTGTGGAAACTAGGAAATCTGTAATCTCCTGGTTCCCATGCTGAATATTGGTTGGAATGCAAGCTCCAAGATAATCTCAAAAGGTTTGAAAAGACAAAAATCCTAATAGCATATTCAGTGTTCTTTTATGAATCAGAAGGGGAAGCAAAATTGAGGGTGGAGTCATAATTTGATATAAAGAAATGAGATGTCTATTCTAATGACCGGACACCCCTGAAAATTGGAAGCTGATGCAACAAATTTAAGGTGCAATTGCACTCTTTGTTTAAAAGCACAAGGGAATATGATTTTCATCCAATATCCATGATTATTGCACCATGGTCTGTTCTGAACATGTCTATTTCAGTTGACTCTGTCACAATGATGGAGATCACAATGCCTCATGATGGGGCAGTGATTAGTGATAAAGCCAACCAACACTACCGTATGTAATGAAAAGTGAGAGCATAAGAAACTCACTCATCAGGTTTATCATCTAAATCCGAGTCCTCTTTCTCTGATTGCATCCTTGCCAAATTGTAGTTGATGGAGGAATGGCGAATAAAGCAAAGCTGGAGGTGCCAAAAACATGAAGATTATGACACAAGACAAGATGTGCAACATAAATTTTCTTATGGACAAAATTTTCAGCTAAACTAATGTAATGGATATGTACACGGCGGTAATTACAAACAGATTCTTGAATACTAAACTGAACAAACTGCTGTTTTAAATCTAGACAAAGTCTTGATTATATGCTCTTTTTAGTTGTTCAGAAATTCAATGAACTATAAACAAGGACTACATGACGCTGATCACTACAAACCAACAATTTTGCTTCTTTATGTATATCTAGTTAGCTTTCATTTTTCACACAAATTGATCATCCATTGTCACAACTGTTCCTAACTTATTCAAATCATCATGAATTTTATATCAGATCATCCATGACCTTTTTTATGCAGAACTTTATGATAAACCAGAGTCACCCAACAGCCTTAGTTTTAATTCTGGGCGAAGTTAATGTTGCCTTTAGTCAATTTATTTTCTCCACATCGTCGTTACTTTCCTCCTCAACAGTCCAACACAACTTGAACACAGTAGCAGAGAGCAGTTATATACATTTCTTTTCCAGTTGAAAACTTCTATTTGAAAGCTTGTCACATTTTTTAAGCTTCACCCTGTACTTATTCAGGCTCAGTCACATGGATCCCCTTCTGCTCCACTTTATCAAGGGTCTTACACAGTCGAACTACAAAGGGTCCAATCCCTGATAGTCTTCTTCTTTAATATTATTTTTGCATCAACCCTTTCCTGTTCACTACTAATACTAATCCCATATTTTGCCTATCAGATGCCATACAGACCCTAAAAGCACGGCAAAGCACGACAGCAATAAACATTATACATAGAAATCCTGCAACTATCGATTAACACATGTAAACATTTACTTCCACATTTGCAGAATATATTGATCCAGGACTATGGCATGCTACTGTTCCCAAATTCTGTTAAGGTTCTTTGAAAGTTTCCGGCAGTACGCTAATTCCGGTACTTTAAGGTACAACTTTTGTGGATAAGGAGAGCAGATTGAACTGCTGTTTGATTAGTCTCCTGTGCTTAGCACTTAGATTTCCCCCACGAAGGGAAAAGAAAATTCCACAATTCTCCCAATTATTATATTTTCTCCCAATTTTATAACATGAAATAAACTAGAAGGAATAAGAAAAGAGGAACCAGATTTATAGGTTGTAAATATGATCTGTGATTTAGTTACTTATGATCATGTGCCGTCGTGCCGACACAATTTTACAAGTATCTGATTTGCTTAACTCTATGCACAATATATTGGGCGTTGTTTTCCACGTTGTCTTCTCTTGTTTCCCTTTAGTGCAAAATGTCGAGCAAATAAGATGTAAAATTTTGCACAAAGTTTTCTGCAAACACATATATTCTAGAAGAACTACGAACCTGATCGCCATCTTTGATCTTGTAGATTCCTAAATAACTGCTGTCATTAAGTAGCTTGTGACTATTGTAGGAAAGACAAAACTGACCCCATACATGTGGCCTGCATAAACAAATTCAACTTCCATTATGGTATCAGAAAGAACCATGCAAGATAATTACGATGGAATCTGCCAAAATATATAGCCATTTTTCTCAGAGATGAATGAACATTAATATCACACCATGAAAAATCCAGTTCCAAACTCATGAACGTCTGAACTAAATGTAATAAACTCCCACTATTAAAAAACACATAACTTGTAACAAATTTATATTGGAAAAATTCAAATGCAGGAAATTTATTGCTATTAGAATAAGAATTCATAACTGACAACACCTTCTCCATGTATATTGTAATATCACGCACAGAGACTGCATTAATCTTTTCTACGGTCTCGGAAACACCAATCCTGGCCAATTTCCCTTTTCTTGTCAACTCCATATAATCACGGGTGAGATGCACCACAAGAAAATTCAATTTTCATGGCCTTACCAAATGTTTTGCAATTTCAGATTCATATATCATTACCAGAATAAAAATTCCAAAACTTAAAGCAAATTGCTGATTCAATCCATCATATGACCTCCCCCATAAACAAAAATAAAATGGATAAAGTTTCACAAATTCAAAGTGCATTACCATGAAACTCTACCAGGCCCTGTCTTTGGCAAATGACTAAATGCAGCCTCCACCGCCTGCTTCAGCTCCTTCACCGTCCCATTTTTAGCCACCTGAATTTCTACAAAATGGAAAACACAAAATCAAATCCAAATTTTTTAATTCCACGTGCGATTTACACACAATAACACATACACAAACACACCAGTACAAGCACGTATGTCAAATCATCCGCATTAATAAAAGAGGGGAAAAAACACGAAAAGCAATTTACCAAAAGATGAGCCGTCCAATTTGAGAACGGTGAGCCTGTGGGGCTCCTGAGGAAGCTTGTTGTAAGAAAAACTCTTCCTGGAGATGCTATCAACGCAGAACATAGGGGAATAGTGGAATGCACGCGACATCGATCCATTGGGAACCTTCGGGGCATAAAAAGCATCATCCCCCTCCACAATTTGCATACTTAATAATAGAAAATCGAAACCCAATATAACTTCCGCCTTTCAAAATTACCACATGGATTCACATCTATAGATAGATGATTTTGTATTAGGTTTTTCGTGGTATGGGGAATATGAGCTCTTGACTATACGAGATTCTTTGGTGAAGAGTTAGGGTTAGAGTGTCGCTTATGTCGGAGGGGATTCTTGAGAGAGAGAGAGTATGAAAATGGTTCTCCTTTTCTCTTCTCTGTTGAACGAATCAATCCCTAATGGGTTTTGGAGGAGAGAAGCAACAGTTATTTTCGTTAGAGGAAGATCTAACGTTAACATTACGCGTCTTTATAAAGCGTGATTATCTATCGCGATTTGTCTCAAACTCTTCATTTTTTTTTTTTGGTACTTAAATTATAGGGTAATTGGCGCAAAACGTCCCTATTTATGACAAGTTTTGTAGAAAACGTCCGTACGTTTGAGTTTTTGGTGCAGAACGTCCCTACCTTTGCATTTTCTTGCGCAAAACGTCATTTTCACCAATTTTTAATATAAAATTACCAACATACCCTCATATATAAATAAAACAAAAAAGAAAAGAAAAGAACTATAAAGACCAAATTGTAATTAGAGACCCGAACGTTTTAAAATGTGTAAATAACTCACAACACTTCACCTTCTTCCCAAAACTCACCCCGTCCCACCGTCATCATCCACGTTTGGGCCTTCACCTTCTTCTCCTCCGCCAAACTTCACCTCCTTCTCATTCTCCTTCTCCCTCGCCTCCTCCACCCCGTCGTCGCCAAAACCATAACCCCTACAGTCCTCCATCTCCCATTTCTTCCTTCATACTTTGGTAAACTAGGGAAAATTCTTAAAACTAATAAGAAAATCCCGAATCACCCGAACCCCCCCAAATCGCGATTCGAGCTGAACGAAGCCCGATCTAGCCTTGAGCGATCGAGCTGATTCGAAAGGCTGGCTAAGGTTGAAGAGTTGAACTCTCATGGAGCTCAAATCTTAGGGGGCTTGAGATGAGGACAATTGGAACACATCTACAACCTTCAATTATAAACACAGTGCTACCGCTGCAAATCCCGGCAACCAAGTAAGTTTATTTCCAAATCGCGATTCGAGTTGATTCGAAACCTTTACATGTTTATTCTTTTCAATTTAGTCTTGACAAATTTATGGGAAATGCAGGAGTAAATATGGCGAAGCTCCTGGAGAAAAATTGCCGAGTTTTTCACTCTGACCGACCCTTTACCATTACAATCGTTTGCCTCCTCGAAATGGGCAAGGATGAAACAAGAGAACACCACCTCCATATTTCACTTCCAAATTTTTCACTCCAGCCGACCCTGTTTTATTGGATACAAGATCTTTAATAAAAGATATTCAGAATTTTCAGTTCTCAACGAAAGTTTGGAGTGATATTGATACTGAGAATGACCTCTCTGAATTGTTTTTGTGGTTGAAAATGGACGACTGACCGCGGTGGGACAGGGTGAGTTTTGGGAAGAAGGTGAAGTGTTGTGGGTTATTTGCACATTTTAAAATGTTTGGATCTCTAATTACAATTTGTTCTTTATAGTTCTTTTCTTTTCTTTTTTGTCTTATTTATATAGGAGGGTATATTGGTCATTTTATGTTAAAAATTGATGAAAATGACGTTTTGAGCAAGAAAATGCAAAGGTATGGACGTTCTGCACCAAAAATTCAAACGTATGGACATTTTCCATAAAACTCGTCATAGGTAAGAACGTTTTGCGCCAATTACCCTAAATTATATTTAAACGGTAAGAATGAAGTCGATCATTGATCCATGTTCGAATCTCATTTGGAATAAGTATTTATGAATGACTTAGAGAGAAATGAGTCGATCAAGATGGCACATGATACACCGCTTAAAATATTTGGGACGCAAAAGTTATTAAGCCCTTGTTGTTTTAATTTAAATCAAAGTCAACAATAAATTTTAACTATTTATTTTCATGGATCCCATAATTTTTGAATCATACATCTCATCAATTTTTATCATAATTTATCACAAATATGATTTTAATCCCCATCGAACATGGGCTAAAATTAGTGAGATTTTCTTCATTCAAATTTGTGTAATTTTTATTTATTTTCTTATAATCTTTGTTCGGTTAACTTAAGCCTTATATAAAAGGACTGTGCTTTCCATTATGCAAAAGATTATTTTAAATATTTCAATTTCTCTCTTTTTTCTTTCTTCTATCTATTTCTTCTCTTATAGCTTGTTTGGGAGGAATTTTTTGGGGGGAAATTGATTTTTGAATAGTAATATGNGCTTGTTTGGGAGGAATTTTTGGGGGCAGAATTGATTTTTGAATAGTGATATGATGAGAAATGTGTGGTTGAAACAAAAGAAAAATTTATTGATGTGATGAAAAATATTATTTTATTGAAGAATGTGTGGTTGAAAATGAGAATTGATTTACTGTAGAATTTGAGAATATCTCTCAAACACCCCCTTAGTTTGAATCCGTCCTTATATTGATATCAAAGTTCGACGATTTTCTCTAATTAAATTACTCTATATGTGCACGTTACCGTTCATAATACGATAGCCCGCGGCATCAACCCAAAGCCATTTACATACCCAAAAAACCAAGTTCAAACAAATAAAAAGAAGGGAGAGATCGCAATTGTATTCATAATAATAATGTGGCCATCCATATATACAGACTAATAAGGATATTATACAAAAGTTTAGGGCGAATTCAGGATTTTTATTAGGGAGGATGGAAATTTAAAAAATCAAGAGCAAAATTTATATATAAGTAAATCATCGGGACAGCAATAATTCAACAATTTCTGTAAATATAAACTATTATCAATAGTAGTTAAAAAAAATTAGTGACGTGGAGGCAATCGAAGTACTTGCTAGTAGTGTAAAATTGAGAAGTGTGAATCTAAATATTAGCAAAATAATAATAATAATAAATGAAGGCTTTAAAATAGTATAAAATTAAAATGCAATTTATTAAGCAAGTAACAACATTATAAATATAAAATCAAAGAAAAAAAGAAAATTCTACATTTTTCTTTACTGTCTACTCATCAATGATCGTAATAACTTTTTGTATATCCTTGTTTATGTCAATTTTATTCACCCTTGATAAATATAGATTGTCAATATATTATTCGATTAATTTGATTGCATAATCATAAAAATACGATTATTTTCTTTATAATTTTTCAACCCAACAATTGAAACTCGGTCCTTTTTTGATCCCCATTATTTTCAAAATACATTTTTCTCTCTTATTTTTAACCACACATTTTTCAAAAAAATAATATTACACTCAAACCCAATTTTTTTCCTTCTTATATTTAACTATACATTATCTACCAATCTACTATTACTAAATACATTCTTATTCAAAAATAAAGTTCAAACGAGCGCTTAAACACAATAATTAACATTCCAGCTTAGTCTCCCGCTATCCTTCTATGCAAAATGTGAGTATTGTGGTCCTCCTCACACTATTGGGCTGGTGCTATTTGTGTCATTTGGTATATGACTTATTAGCCTTGGGCTTTAGCTGCTTAGTTGTCATTCAACTACTGGTAGCTTTGGTATTGACCCGGATTGTGTTAGTTTGATTTAAGTGTAACCCTTGATAGAGATCAAGGGCTGGGATTAAACTTGGCTGGATATTTTCCTTATATTCACGTGGGTTCACTACTTTGAGACCTCTTCCTTCTTTGAGACTCCTCTCTCTAACTCTCGTTCCTGTCTTCTCTCTACCTCTACGATTTGAGGTTGTCTTCCTCCTTTCTTCCTTTGGCCACATAAAATTGATCTTTAGTCCATTAATTGAAGAGATTCCTGTGTATTCTTAGGCCTGAAATAGTGGCCGAGGGTTAGGTCTTCTCGAGGGCTTAGGTCAGTGGTTTTGGGCGTTATTCTTGACTGCAGTTGGTAGACCATTTGGTCGATGATCTAGCCAAGTGGGAAGCATTCTTTGCCGGTTCTTGTGCTCTCTCTGGAGGGCGATTTGCAAGCGTGGGAGACTGTTCCTAAGCCTAGACATTTCAACCAGCAAGAAAGGAAGAGGAACAGGTTATTTGGGACAGTAAAAGGGAAGGAACTTTCTGCCCTCTTTTTCGATTCTGTCTTATTCATGTTTTATTTCTTCGGTTTCTATGATTTCCCATTTATGTTGTCTACAGTATGCTATGGATTATATGCTTATGCAAATGATTGGATTACATCATTATAAATCCATTCTTGGTCTAGGCTTTATGCATATTCTGTTAATGTTATTGTAACGGTTGATTACATTCTGCTTCAAGTTATTGAACTCTGTCATTGTTGTTGACTGAGCTGTAGAATTCGGTTAGCCTCGGTTGGGGTCTGCATTATGCTGTATATTTCCTAACACAAAAGTTAATAAATTTAAAATAAAAAATCTGAATTAATTTAATTTCTTTTGGGTCTTGAATATACTTTTATGTGTCTGTTTGGCCTGATTTTTAAAATGTCAAAAAAAAGCTTTTGAGATCAAAAGTTACTTTTAAACTCTTTTGATTAAGTTATAATATATTAAAGGGTAATTATATTACCAATACAAAATTTACTTGCTACACTACAATTAAAATTTATTTTCAATAAATACACCACAATAAATTTACAATTATACTCCCTATCTAATAAAAACTAAAAATAAAAAAAATACTGTGGTGTAATGAATGGCTGGGCCAAGAAACTTCAGACTAAAGAAACTGTAAGTTAATCATTTTCTCTTATTTTTCTAACCCACACGGGATATAAGTTACGAAATGGGTGAAATTGTTTGAGATTTTGCCGGTAATTCTGCATCTACAGAAATGGAATTTATTGTGAAAATGTAATTACTTGGTAGGGACTCAAGTGCCACACTTAGACACTTTTAAGGAAGAAAACATAAACTAAATCCTTTTTTAGTTTACTGCCCTCCCGTATTAAGAACTGCATACAATATTTTGTGCAAAAAAATGTAAGCAATTTGCTT